TAAAAGTGAAGATTCCTAAATAAAATTTGTTAATACCCGTTAACCACTATTAATAATTGTCTGTAGTATCGCAATACTAAAGATTTGATAAGGAGAACGGCTCTTCAGGGCAAGACAGGGAGTTGGACTGCCCTCTTCCTTTCATAATCCTGCCCTCATATCAGATTAAACAATAAAAAGATATATGAGATGTGTTCACTCTACTTGGTTTAATCTGAAGTCTCGAACATCTAATTACAAAGGAAAATAATCACACAAAATATCATCCAATACTTAGCAATTAAGTCATTATACCTAGAGCCTTCTTTCTAGAACATTTGACAAAGAGAGTTTAAATCACTTAATGCAGCCTTTTTCTTTGTTCCTTATGGACAAATCAGACCCCAGATCTTATAAACTGCTAAAGAATAATTTCTGAGCCCAGTTACTCCAAATAAAGGTCATCAAAGAGGCGTACAGGATGAAAAGCTATGTCTGGAAGAATTCCGTACAACAGTCAGTCTACATGATCTTTCAATTTATATGAAAATTTGGAAGAAAGACAGTCTTAGACTTGTGACTTTTGATTTTGAGAAAGGAGAATATCCGTAGATAAGAAGACAAAGATGATGTAGCCTTCGGTTTGGTGGTAATTTCTTTTCAAGTTTATTATACTTCGCTTTTTCAACTTAGTGACTTTTTAGGACAGACTCCTTGCTGTATCGTTTGACGTTGCTGTCATGTTCTACTACAGCATCAGACCGTTAAATGGGTACATTCGAGGACATTTCTCCGGCACCGTCAACCTCAACGCCGAAATTGAGGATTTTGGGTCTTTGAGAATATTTACAAGTTGTAGCTCGGTACTGAGGTCACCTCTGTCACGGATTACGATGAGGGCGAGACTTCTAAAAATGTATCCAGTCACCGGTTTGGTGCGGAAGAAGACATACCAAAACTGGCAGAGAACACAGTAAGAAGTTTCCAAAACGACACAATTAAGGTGCTAAAACGTGGTAAATCCAATTCTGTAGTTCCATTGGTTTCTCGTCAAATTGACTAAACTTGACGTATCTTTCCTAATTCTCCTCTTTATGCCAGTCTGAGATGAGGCTACGATTCAAATGACCCCCTCGCAAATTAGGATCAGATTGGTCTCTGATCCTAGAAGGGCAGAAGGCCAAAACTAACGAGAAGCTGCACTAAGGTTTGCCAAGGCGTCAGCACATTCTTGCTCCAATATGCATTTCACGTTTTTCGGGTCCAGCAGTCGAAATACCGAAAGGAAGGGCATGCATGAATAACAGTTTGGGCAAAATATGATGGAAGCTGTCGGCCAACCTGATGGAGGAACAACTGATTGATCATTTTCTGACTCGGAGTCCCAGTCTGAGTTGTGATGGGCCCCGGGGATGAGAACGACTGGCTCTTCTGCAGCTCCGGACGGGATTGGTTGAGGCTGCTTGTCTCCACAGGCCTTAGGCAAGGATGTGTGTGACTGATAAGAAGAGTATGTTGACAAGAGTTTAAGGTTGAAAAAATAAATAACGAAAGCGAACTGCCTCAAAATGAAATCAGTAAGGTAAACTATTTTATTATGAGATTTATTCATCCTATTTCGTTCAGGGTGATAAGGGGTAGTTGAATTTTCCCACACTGGCATGAGCAGACCTTACGTTTCCACTGAAATAGGGTGAACATTTCTCATATATGTGATTTATTGGTAGTCTGGAAAACATACTTTTAAATGAAATACAAATTAATAGGCTAAAAAATTCCAACGAACATCATTTAATTTAGATATGTCGTTTTTGAGGCTGCCAGTAGCTCTCGATTTGGTACTATGTCACTTTCGGTCACTTAAGGACTGCAAGCTGAGTTTTCCCTCAATCAATTGAGTAGACCTCAGGATGCCATTAATTTCGCGTAGCCTTGCCTCCCAAAAGGCAATCTTCTTACCGGTTGGACTACAGTTTCAACCTTACTTAAACCGGTCTCATAAGAACCCACAGCAATATTCGAGTCTGAGTCATAAGTATGGCGGCAGGTTACCACTCAACTATACTGTGCTACCAAAAGGTGAAAATGGGTCACAGGGCAGATGCCACAATCAAGGCAAGCCAGCCCTCTGCCAACTCACATTTAAAGTAGGACTGTAGACCAAGCAAGCATGTACTTGCCATTCCAATCCGCAACGTTACTTATTTTTATATAAGTAGTTTTTTGGACTACCATCTATTCTCGAGTTATAGGTAGGCTCAATTTCTAGTCCTTAATTCACTTTAAGCGACCTAGAGTGACAAAGATCTTACTCAGGAATTTAATTTAGCCCTACTGTATTCCTTGCCTTTCCCCGAGTCCCATCATCACTTCAAACGGGTTTCGAAACCGAGTCAGGCATATGAAATAGCAAAAAGTTGCCAGGCCTATCATAAATCGAACATTATGATGAAATTTTAAATTATGATAAATTGTATTTGTCATTACAATCGATAACATTACCTATTTTCGATGAGAGTAGTTTGCAAGATTGTCAGTAATTTAGCGGCCTGGGGTGACTCAACTTTTATTCAAGAAGTACCGATAGACTTGAAAATACATTAATCAAAATATGTATACCAGTTTGAATTATCGACAATCCCATTATTACATTTACCAAAATGGCTGTGTAGCAGAGTGGTAACTTTACGTAGCCGCTTTACATGTATGCTCGAGGAGACTGATTTTTCTGTAGGAAGAGTTCGGGCCTGAAGTCCAAGTTGGGAGGCAAGCCCGAGTGAAGTTCAAGGCCATCGTGAGGCCTATACGCGTCATTGTGGAAAATGTCTCGCATGCAAACTTTAGCTCTACTTAAGCGACCTTGGATGGTTTGAGGTATTTTAGAAAATATGAAGGAAAACTGGTTTTCGAAGAATCCCTTAGTGATATGTTGTGGCATGACTTTCCATTTCCGGTGAGGCCATTTCACAAATTCTCTCTAATCAACTTTTTTTTCCAAATGGAAATTCATGTCACAATTTTAGAAAATGCCTGCAAATTTTACAATCAGCCTCGAAATAGGCTTACAGAATATAAGCAATGAACGATTTGAGACAATCACTTACATGTTATTCCTCCTTATTAGAATATACAAAATAATAAAATATACTGTAAATTTATATATATATATATACAATATTAGATTTATTTATTTATTTACATACTATAATTAATACATTTTTTAGCCCCCCTTTATTAGTCTCCTTCTTATGAGGGGTATTATCGTTGAAGCTTCCCTAAAATGCAGCGAGAGTAGACCTAAGCCTTTTAATTTTATTCGGTCTTGCATTGCAGTTCGACCTCTTCCGTAGGTCTGGATTTGAAACCTCATTCTGTGTATAGATTGGCATAGCGTCACCGCTCAGTAGTCAT